TCCATCTCCTATATATCCAGTATCACATGTGCAAATATAAGATCCATCTGTGTTATTGCACGTAGCATTGGAATGACATGGGGAAGATGTTAGGCATTCGTCAACATCTAAAATGGCGGATGTAGCATTTTTTTCCATTTACTGCGTTCTACTTAAATATTTCGTAAAAAAAACTTTTTTTAAGTTGTGTTACCTGTGCAATTAAATCCATCTCCTATATATCCAGAATTACATATGCAGATATAAGATCCATGTGTGTTATTGCACATAGCATTGCAATTACATGGTGAAGATAACACACATTCGTCAACATCTGAAATGGCAGTTGTAGCATTTTATTTTTTACGTTTATTTTGCCCTTTTGAAAATATCTCGTAAAAAAACATTTTACGTTGAATCACCTGGGCAATTAAATCCATCTCCAGTATATCCAGACTGGCATATGCAGATATAAGATCCATCTGTGTTATTGCACGTAGCATTGGAATGACATGGTGGAGATATTACACATTCGTCAACATCTGAAATGGCAGTTGTAGAATATTTTTCTTTTTGCTGCGTTCTACTTAAATATTTCGTAAAAAAACTTTTTTCGTTGTGTCACCTGTGCAATTAAATCCATCTCCTATATATCCAGTATCACATGTGCAAATATAAGATCCATCTGTGTTATTGCACGTAGCATTGGAATGACATGGGGAAGATGTTACGCATTCGTCAACATCTAAAATGGCGGATCTAGCATTTTTTTCTATTTACTGCGTTCTACTTAAATATTTCGTAAAAAAAAACTTTTTTTAAGTTGTGTTACCTGTGCAATTAAATCCATCTCCTATATATCCAGAATTACATATGCAGATATAAGATCCACGTGTGTTATTGCACATAGCATTGGAATTACATGGTGAAGATAACACACATTCGTCAACATCTGAAATGGCAGTTGTAGCATTTTATTTTTTACGTTTATTTTGCCCTTTTGAAAATATCTCGTAAAAAACATTTTACGTTGAATCATCACCTGGGCAATTAAAATCCATCTCCAGTATATCCAGACTGGCATATGCAGATATAAGATCCATCTGTGTTATTGCACGTAGCATTGGAATGACATGGGGAAGATGTTAGGCATTCGTCAACATCTAAAATGGCAGATGTAGCATTTTTTTCCATTTACTGCGTTCTACTTAAATATTTTGTAAAAAAAACTTTTTTTAAGTTGTGTTACCTGTGCAATTAAATCCATCTCCTATATATCCAGAATTACATATGCAGATATAAGATCCAGGTGTGTTATTGCACATAGCATTGGAATTACATGGTGAAGATAACACACATTCGTCAACATCTGAAATGGCAGTTGTAGCATTTTATTTTTTACGTTTATTTTGCCCTTTTGAAAATATCTCGTAAAAAACATTTTACGTTGAATCACCTGGGCAATTAAATCCATCTCCAGTATATCCAGACTGGCATATGCAGATATAAGATCCATCTGTGTTATTGCACGTAGCATTGGAATGACATGGTGGAGATATTACACATTCGTCAACATCTGAAATGGCAGTTGTAGAATATTTTTCTTTTTGCTGCGTTCTACTTAAATATTTCGTAAAAAAACGTTTTTCGTTGTGTCACCTGTGCAATTAAATCCATCTCCTATAAATCCAGTATCACATGTGCAAATATAAGATCCATCTGTGTTATTGCACGTAGCATTGGAATGACATGGGGAAGATGTTAGGCATTCGTCAACATCTAAAATGGCGGATGTAGCATTTTTTTCCATTTACTGCGTTCTACTTAAATATTTCGTAAAAAACCCTTTTTTTAAGTTGTGTTACCTGTGCAATTAAATCCATCTCCTATATATCCAGAATTACATATGCAGATATAAGATCCATGTGTGTTATTGCACATAGCATTGCAATTACATGGTGAAGATAACACACATTCGTCAACATCTGAAATGGCAGTTGTAGCATTTATTTTTTACGTTTATTTGCCCTTTTGAAAATATCTCGTAAAAAAACATTTTACGTTGAATCACCTGGGCAATTAAATCCATCTCCAGTATATCCAGACTGGCATATGCAGATATAAGATCCATCTGTGTTATTGCACGTAGCATTGGAATGACATGGTGGAGATATTACACATTCGTCAACATCTGAAATGGCAGTTGTAGAATATTTTTTCTTTTTGCTGCGTTCTACTTAAATATTTCGTAAAAAAACTTTTTTGTGGTCACCTGTGCAATTAAATCCATCTCCTATATATCCAGTATCACATGTGCAAATATAAGATCCATCTGTGTTATTGCACGTAGCATTGGAATGACATGGGGAAGATGTTACGCATTCGTCAACATCTAAAATGGCGGATCTAGCATTTTTTTCTATTTACTGCGTTCTACTTAAATATTTCGTAAAAAAAACTTTTTTAAGTTGTGTTACCTGTGCAATTAAGTCCATCTCCTATATATCCAGAATTACATATGCAGATATAAGATCCACGTGTGTTATTGCACATAGCATTGGAATTACATGGTGAAGATAACACACATTCGTCAACATCTGAAATGGCAGTTGTAGCATTTTATTTTTACGTTTATTTTGCCCTTTTGAAAATATCTCGTAAAAAACATTTTACGTTGAATCACCTGGGCAATTAAATCCATCTCCAGTATATCCAGACTGGCATATGCAGATATAAGATCCATCTGTGTTATTGCACGTAGCATTGGAATGACATGGGGAAGATGTTAGGCATTCGTCAACATCTAAAATGGCAGATGTAGCATTTTTTTCCATTTACTGCGTTCTACTTAAATATTTTGTAAAAAAAACTTTTTTTAAGTTGTGTTACCTGTGCAATTAAATCCATCTCCTATATATCCAGAATTACATATGCAGATATAAGATCCACGTGTGTTATTGCACATAGCATTGGAATTACATGGTGAAGATAACACACATTCGTCAACATCTGAAATGGCAGTTGTAGCATTTTATTTTTTACGTTTATTTTGCCCTTTTGAAAATATCTCGTAAAAAACATTTTACGTTGAATCACCTGGGCAATTAAATCCATCTCCAGTATATCCAGACTGGCATATGCAGATATAAGATCCATCTGTGTTATTGCACGTAGCATTGGAATGACATGGTGGAGATATTACACATTCGTCAACATCTGAAATGGCAGTTGTAGAATATTTTTCTTTTTGCTGCGTTCTACTTAAATAATTCGTAAAAAAACTTTTTTCGTTGTGTCACCTGTGCAATTAATTCCATCTCCTATATATCCAGTATCACATGTGCAAATATAAGATCCATCTTTGTTATTGCACGTAGCATTGGAATGACATGGGGAAGATGTTAGGCATTCGTCAACATCTAAAATGGCGGATGTAGCATTTTTTTCCATTTACTGCGTTCTACTTAAATATTTCGTAAAAAACCCTTTTTTTAAGTTGTGTTACCTGTGCAATTAAATCCATCTCCTATATATCCAGAATTACATATGCAGATATAAGATCCATGTGTGTTATTGCACATAGCATTGCAATTACATGGTGAAGATAACACATTCGTACATCTGAAATGCACATATTCGTCAACATCTGAAATGGCAGTTGTAGCATTTTATTTTTTACGTTTATTTTGCCCTTTTGAAAATATCTCGTAAAAAAACATTTTACGTTGAATCACCTGTGCAATTAAATCCATCTCCAGTATATCCAGACTGGCATATGCAGATATAAGATCCATCTGTGTTATTGCACGTAGCATTGGAATGACATGGGGAAGATGTTAGGCATTCGTCAACATCTAAAATGGCAGATGTAGCATTTTTTTCCATTTACTGCGTTCTACTTAAATATTTCGTAAAAAAAACTTTTTTTAAGTTGTGTTACCTGTGCAATTAAATCCATCTCCTATATATCCAGAATTACATATGCAGATATAAGATCCATGTGTGTTATTGCACATAGCATTGGAATTACATGGTGAAGATAACACACATTCGTCAACATCTGAAATGGCAGTTGTAGCATTTTATTTTTTACGTTTATTTTGCCCTTTTGAAAATATCTCGTAGAAAAAACATTTTACGTTGAATCACCTGGGCAATTAAATCCATCTCCAGTATATCCAGACTGGCATATGCAGATATAAGATCCATCTGTGTTATTGCACGTAGCATTGGAATGACATGGTGGAGATATTACACATTCGTCAACATCTGAAATGGCAGTTGTAGAATATTTTTCTTTTGGCTGCGTTCTACTTAAATATTTCGTAAAAAAACTTTTTTCGTTGTGTCACCTGTGCAATGAAATCCATCTCCTATATATCCAGTATCACATGTGCAAATATAAGATCCATCTGTGTTATTGCACGTAGCATTGGAATGACATGGGGAAGATGTTACGCATTCGTCAACATCTAAAATGGCGGATTGTAGCATTTTTTCTATTTACTGCGTTCTACTTAAATATTTCGTAAAAAAAACTTTTTTTAAGTTGTGTTACCTGTGCAATTAAATCCATCTCCTATATATCCAGAATTACATATGCAGATATAAGATCCACGTGTGTTATTGCACATAGCATTGGAATTACATGGTGAAGATAACACACATTCGTCAACATCTGAAATGGCAGTTGTAGCATTTTATTTTTTACGTTTATTTTGCCCTTTTGAAAATATCTCGTAAAAAACATTTTACGTTGAATCACCTGGGCAATTAAATCCATCTCCACTATATCCAGACTGGCATATGCAGATATAAGATCCATCTGTGTTTTTGCACGTAGCATTGGAATGACATGGTGGAGATATTACACATTCGTCAACATCTGAAATGGCAGTTGTAGAATATTTTTCTTTTTGCTGCGTTCTACTTAAATATTTCGTAAAAAAACTTTTTTCGTTGTGTCACCTGTGCAATTAAATCCATCTCCTATATATCCAGTATCACATGTGCAAATATAAGATCCATCTGTGTTATTGCACGTAGCATTGGAATGACATGGGGAAGATGTTAGGCATTCGTCAACATCTAAAATGGCAAATGTAGCATTTTTTTCCATTTACTGCGTTCTACTTAAATATTTCGTAAAAAAAACTTTTTTTAAGTTGTGTTACCTGTGCAATTAAATCCATCTCCTATATATCCAGAATTACATATGCAGATATGAGATCCAGGTGTGTTATTGCACATAGCATTGGAATTACATGGTGAAGATAACACACATTCGTCAACATCTGAAATGGCAGTTGTAGCATTTTATTTTTTACGTTTATTTTGCCCTTTTGAAAATATCTCGTAAAAAAACATTTTACGTTGAATCACCTGGGCAATTAAATCCATCTCCAGTATATCCAGACTGGCATATGCAGATATAAGATCCATCTGTGTTATTGCACGTAGCATTGGAATGACATGGTGGAGATATTACACATTCGTCAACATCTGAAATGGCAGTTGTAGAATATTTTTCTTTTTGCTGCGTTCTACTTAAATATTTCGTAAAAAAACTTTTTTCGTTGTGTCACCTGTGCAATTAAATCCATCTCCTATATATCCAGTATCACATGTGCAAATATAAGATCCATCTGTGTTATTGCATGTACCATTGGAATGACATGGGAGAGGTATTACGCATTCGTCAACATCTAAAATGGCATTTGTAGCATACTTGATTTATTTTTCCATTCCCTCTTTTTTACTCAACACTTGGTAAAATTATAATTTGCATTGTCTTACCTGTGCAGTTAAATCCATGCCCAGTATATCCAGAATCACATGTGCAAATATATGATCCGTCTGTGTTATTGCACGTAGCATTGGAATGACATGGGGAAGATGTTAAGCATTCGTCGACATCTGAAATGGAAATTGTAGAAACTTTTTTTAATTTTCTGTTTTTAAGATTTTGTAAAAACATTATTTATTCCCGTTGTGTAACCTGTGCAATTAAATCCATCTCCAGTGTATCCAGAATTACATGTGCAAATATAAGATCCATCTGTGTTATTGCACGTAGCATTTGAATGACATGGGGGAGATGTTAGGCATTCGTCAACATCTGAAATGGCAGATGCAGCAATTCAATTTAACTATTTACTGTGTAAGATCTTTTCAAGGATATGGTGAAGTAAATTGTTGACGTTACTGACCAGTGCAGTTAATGTTCAAGATAAATCCTGGGTGACATGTGCAGATATTCGGTAGGTAAATGAAATTATTTACGTTTTCTTACCTGTGCAGTTAAATCCATTAAATCCAAAATCACACGTACAGATATAAGATCCATCTGTGTTATTGCATGTAGCATTGTAATGACATGGGGAGGTTGTTTTGCATTCATCAACGTCTGAAATGCATTCGCAAATTAATCTCTAATCTAGTAATTTTTTTGATTGAACTCTGTTTTCGCCACTGTAAACATGCAAGGTTCGTATATGTTCTGTTTATTTTTACTAAATAATTTCATATCATTTTAGTGTAATGTTCTGTTCACGCAATCCAATTTTGTTGGATTCAATTCACTTCTGAAGGTTGTTTTATAGTCTGTTGTCTTGTAATGTATATAAGAAGTCAATCCACTGAAGCCAATGCTGTACTGCTTTATCAATTACCGACTATATTTCATACGTCGGAAGTGAATTGGATTAACAGAACTTAACAATTCTTCTGTGGCATACATTTTCGGGAATCTTATTTTGAAAAATAATTAAAAAAACCCTCATAATTTGAAGGGGCTAGTTGGACTGCCTTCCTTAAGGCGGATTTCCACTTACAGCGAAGTCGTTCGCCAGCGAAGTATTTGCATATTTTCTTTTGAATTTTAACAGCATAAATAAATTAGTTCGACTAGACTGTTCTCAATTCAAAAGAAAATATGCAAATATTTCGCTAGCGAACGATTTCGCTGTAAGTGGAAATCCGCCTTTAGTTAAATAGCCATGAAATCTCTTATGGGTCCGTTTTCATTTCACATTAAGAAATAGAAGAAATATTTTCCGTGTTTCTATACAGTTATAGAAACACGCGTGGGAGTTCGGCAGAACGAGAAATATTCAGTGGAAAAACGAGCCCGTATGGCGAGTTTTTCTACGTTATTTCGAGTTCTCCGAAACTCAATCAGTAGCGTAGCCAGACTGACGATTTGTCCCGCTATGCTAATATTTGGTGTTCATAGACTGTGCAAACAATCAATTTCTAAAGAAATGAATATTTATGATAACACGACATTTATATAGCGGGACAAAATCGTCAGGCTGGCTACGCCACTGAACTCAATTACAAATTCTCATTAGATTACTTCGCTTGCGAAGTTCGGCTGGAAAATCCCGTGTTTCTATACAGTTATAGAAACACGCTTCTCGAACAATAAGCACGCGTGTACTATAAATGTGATGTTATAAATCTTTCTAATGTGTTAATGTTTCGTTTGATATCTCCAATGTGTTGTGGTTCGTCGAATCGACAATACGCCCTTATTACTACGCAGCACGACTGTCTATTGGTATATCGTATTTATTGTCACAAATAATATTGTGCACAAAACAGAATTCGATCTAAATATTAATATATGAATAATGAATAAGATATTATGGTTTGATTAACTGAATTTATATACTATGATTAACTTTATATTTAACTTACTTCTGTGCCAATATCCTTGTGTTGATTCACACAAACAAATACAGTTACAGGTTAGCATTAACGTCTACCTTTTCCACAGTTCGGTTAAGATTCTCAGATCAGCAGTTTAACTCGTATCAATTGCCTTATAATCATGTCCGTGCAGATAATTATATGATACCTCAATTTTAAGCCCACGTAATTAAATGTCAATCAAATGTAAATAACTAGTAATACAATGTATAATATAGTAATAGATCTAAAGTAAGTGTTCATCACAGCATGTTCTATAAAAATTTCATGAGTGCCTTCCAAGTGATCTCGCGCCAACCTCGCAAAGCATTATTTTGCCAGCAAATAGAAATCCATAGAAGAGATGAGTGAGCGCGTTTTGGCACCAAGGCTATTTTCAAAACTCTTCGCATGCAGTAATAAGGTGTTAAATTATTGGTTAAACGTGATTGCCTACTCTTTCAACTCAAGATCAAATATTTTCCGTATGTGTGAATGAAATTATAGATTTTTGATTTTTGACAATGCGATTGCATTAATCAAAATTTGACAAACACCAAAAAGTTGAATACGAAATTAAGACCCAATAAAAATAGTGATTATCTAATATTCCTGATCGAGTCCTTATGGTCGAACATAAAATATTCCGGTATATTCGACCATGGTCGAGTATATACCATATTCCGGTATTCCGGTATATTCGAGTCGAGTATATCGTATTTCGGTATATTCGACCATGGTCGAGTGTACCATATTCCAGTGTATTCGACCATGGTCAGTTAATATCGATTATAACCGCCCCGGTGCCAAAGAACAAGGTGACCTTGAGGAATATCTGATGAATCCAGAAGACAGGGACTGGAAACGCTAACTAAAACACTTATAATGCTGACGCGCCATCCGTGATATGGCTTTATCACGTCAATTTTTACGTTGCCAAGCAACCATGCTCTTTATTCAGAAAAAATAATACAAAGTAAATCCAGCATAAGTTTGCATATCTTTTTAATATGAATATAATATTTCTACCTGACCTTTAAGTCAGATAATTTTTCAAGGTAGGCGCGTTTTGTAAACAGTCCTCATAATTCCAGGCTTGGAAATGTTTGCATCAAAAATATGCGCACGTAAAAATTAAGTAGTTTTTTGGGACCCTGTAACTTGAGATGAAAGCTATAAATTTTCTTTGACAACATACAAATAGCGTCTAATTTTACAAAAGAATACATTAGGACAGCGACTGCAACTTGTAACTACATGCAGACTAGTGTGTCTGGCCAACAGTAAGGACCTTTTTCAGTCCCAACCACAAAAGGATCACCATGTATGCACGAGACTAGTCCCTAGTCCTCCTTAGCCCGCCGTGACGTCACCGCTTTGAACGCGCGGGAGAGGACTAGCAGAAAATGTTTTTAATTCTTATTTCAAAATGGCAGCCAGAAAATTTTTCTCAAGCAATACCAATCGCAAAATATTTGGATTAGGGACAAAATCAGGGACAATTTTTAAAATCTCAACATTTTGTGCAAGGCCTCTCAGCATGGGCTGTGCGATTATGCAGAGGCATAATTAACAGCGCGCGCTGTTTATTATTAAATTATCAACAAATTTAATAAATTGAGAAACTTTGTCTTACATAGTGTAAACAAAATAATGCATGGTATGCATCTATTACCTTTGCACTTGTAAAGCTAAAAATCGCCAATAACCGCATGCGTCGTGTTTTTATGTCAGAATGTCACTATTTTGGGACTAAACGTCCCAAAAAAACCAACTTGATCAGAATTCCTTGCCTACCAATGAATCCCACTCCCAGACAAGTCGGTAATTCCATCGATTCGACAAACCAAAACAACACCCACTATGTCCCTGCTTTTCTCTTATCTAATGTAATGTCATTAGCCCCAAAAATTGATGAAGTACAAGATGTTGTCCGACGCGGAAACTACCAATTCATTAGCATAGTGGAGACTTGGCTACAGAGTCATATACACGACAATGTAGTCAATATCGAAGGATATAACCTCATCCGCAGAGACAGAATTAACGGCCAACACGGAGGCGTTTGTACTTATATTGAAAATACGATCGGTTTTGAGTTAATAGAAAACTTAACTAATGACTTGTTTGAGGTGTTATGGATCAAAATGCTGATGCCCAGACTGCCGAGAAGATTTAATAGCTTGGTCGTCGGGACCTTATACCACCCCCCAAGTGCTGACGACTCAGCAATGCTGGATTATTTATCCAACTGTCTCTCTACATTGGAATCATGCTATCCTAATTGTGGTTTTATTATTCTGGGCGACTTTAATCAGTTAAATATCAACCGATTAAAACTAAGCTATAACCTACGTCAACTTGTTAACTTTCCAACACGTGGCAGAAATACTCTTGATCTCGTCTTGACAAATCTTTACGAATACTACGATCAACCGGTAAAGTATGCACCATTCGGTCTCTCTGATCATATGTCTGTAGAATTTAAACCAAAAGAACGATGTCAACCCCAAAGAGCGCAGAAAAGAGTGGTGAAGAAAAGAGATCTACGTCCGAGCTCCCGTCTTGCATTCCGTAAATATTTGGAACTGTTGGCATTCCCAGCATGTTTTGACAAAGCCCCTTCTTGCACAGAAAAAATCTCCCTCTTGGAAACCATTGTAACTACTGGTCTGGATTATATTCTCCCACTGCGCTCAACTACATCTCGGTGTAATGAACCTCCCTGGATGAACTCAAAATTATCATTATTAATTAAGAAACGCCAGAAAGCTCTTAACCAAGGAAATATTACCCAATTCAAGTACTTGAGAAATAAAGTAAACCGCAAAAGGAAAAGTTGTCGTGCGAAGCATTATGAAAATAGCATTCAACATCTTAAAGAATGTAAACCATCCTCTTGGTGGAATGAGGTTAAGAAGCTCAGTGGAGCAAAATCTACTAGCGGAAATAACGAAGAAATCCTTAAAGCCTTAAGACCTGATGAACACCTTACGGAAACAGATAAAGTAGATATTGCAAACGAGATAAATGATTCTTTTCTTTCCCCAATGGCTGAATTTACTCCTCTCACTCCAGAGAATTACCAAGATCTGTTATTTGGCGCAGCTAATGATTCTACTGTCACAATTGCTGCAGGAGACGTATTTAAAAAACTGTCAACGCTTAATCCAAGGAAAGCCCACGGCCCTGATGGAATACCAACATGGGTGTTAAAAGAGAATGCTGATTTATTGGAACTTCCAGTCAAAGAGATCCTAGATAGTTCTTACCGCGAATGCCGTATTCCACAATCTTGGAAAGAGGCCGACATTATTGCTATCCCTAAAAAGAAACCCATAACTGACATTAATAACAACCTACGTCCAATATCATTAACACCTATTTTATCAAAACTGGCCGAAGAATTCGTGGTTGAACAACACCTAAAACCTGCGGTATTAGCCACAATTGATAAAAGGCAATTCGGATCCATCCCGAATTCAAGCACTACGTATGCCCTTATCAGCATGTTGCATTTTTGGAATAAAAACACGGACGGAAATGGCTCTACAATCAGAATTATGCTTTTTGACTTTCGTAAAGCTTTCGACATGATAGATCATCATATCCTCGCACGAAAACTGTTAAAATACAACATCCCAAAACCTATATTGCATTGGATCTTAGACTTCCTCACTGATCGCAGTCAGAGAGTTAAACTTAGCGATGACTGTTTTTCCGAGTGGAAGGCTGTGCCAGCGGGTGTCCCCAGGGGACAAAATTAGGCCCTTGGCTTTTTAATCATGATGGACGACCTTGATGTTGCTGATAACAAGAACCTTTGGAAATACGTAGACGATTCAACTATGTCTGAAGTCATAAATAAAGATCAACCTAGTATAATGCAAGCGTATGTCAACGAATTCTCTTCAAACCAGAAGTGATGGTATGCAGTTAAAAGAGTCCAAATGCAAGGAACTTCGAATAAGTTTCTCAACTGTAAAGAGAGAGTTTGATCCTATTATTATCAACGACAAAAACATCGAAGTAGTCCAGTGTGAAAAACTACTCGGTTTAACCATCTCCGACAACCTCAAATGGAATAAACATATTGAGACTGTATGCAAGAAGATTTCAACTCGTCTATACTTCTTGCGACAATTGAAACGGGCAAAGTTACCATCCAAGGATCTTCTCTTGTTCTATGTTACTTGTATTCGGCCGGTTGCTGAATACGCGTGCGAAGTATTCCACGATTCCCTTACAAAATACCTGTCAGACGATCTCGAAAGATTACAACGCCGAGCTTGCAGAATAATCCTCCCCGAACATTCGTACGAGGATGCACTTAATCAACTAGGTCTCTTGTCACTGTTCGATCGAAGACAAAATTTGACCGATAAACTTTTTCGGCAAATTGTTAATGATCCGCAAGACAAATTACACCATTTATTACCAGCATTAAATTTATCTGAGGCATCTCTGAGAGAAAGAAGAATATTTCAAGTTCCAAACTGTAGAACATTTAGATTTAAAAACGATTTTATCAATTTCAACTCTAGTAAATACGTATAATATATCTGAGACACTAAATAATGTAAATAGATAGTTTTACCAATTGAACCTCCACTTTTATGGATTTTAATAACATAGATCATACTTTTTGTAACACTTAAGGTTTTTCAGCCGGAGCCTATTGCCGAGGCTGCAAGTTTTAAGTCAATAAACCATCTATCTATCTATCTATCTATCTATCTATCTATCTATCTATCTATCTATCTATCTATCTATCTATCTATCTATTGTTCGTACAATAGGTACCTAGTCGGAAACCCTATAAAATCTTCATCCATTTTCAGAGGGTCATCAGTTTATATATTTATTCGAACACAATAAATCAAGAAATGTGCACTTTGCATTTTCCATCGTCTTACATTAAAAAAGTTAAATTGTCATAAAAAAACTGCGTGCGTGGTATTTTTTGCTAAACCGAGTGTCGCCATCGTTGTTCTCGAAATATGTCCCGATTGAATTTACTTTAGACAAGTTTTAGAGCCCCATTTGAAAATAGTTTGAACAAAAAACAATAAACAGTCAACTTATTGCTTTTACCAACATATTTTTTGAAATATTGAAGCTACAAAAAATAACTGCGCGCGGGGTCTTTTTCCTGAGACGTGTCGCCATTTTCTTTCTGAAATATGTGCCCATTAAATTTACTTTGGACAAGTTTTAGAGCCCCATTTGAAACAGTTGAAACAAAATTAATAAACAGTTAACTTATTGCTTTTACCAACATATTTTTTGCATTATTGAAGTTACAAATCACCAAGTAACTGCGTGCGTTGTCTTTTGCTGAGACGTGTTTCCATTGTTGTTTTCGAAATGGATTTCTACATGAGCCCGCGAAATATGCCGGCCGTATCACGGAAAGCGCACGCGAAAACAATAGCGTTTCCAGTCCCTGTCTGTCGACCGATTTTAATCGCCAAGTATCAAACTGCTTTGATTTCAGTCTGCCTTTCGATTTCAGTCTGCCAACAAAAATCGCTTTAAAATGACATCGCACACGCAAAGAATTAGTCGGTCGACTAAAATCGTACGACAAAAATCGCGACGTGTGCGCCTGGCTTTAGATTCAGAAAGTACTATTTCTATTACATTAAAACAGTTTTTGTTTGGTCAGGTTTAATTAGTTTTTAATTCTGAATACCGTACCTTGGCAATATGTTTGATTTCCAGTGAATCCAGTGTCACATGAACATACAATGGTGCCAGGAGAGTTCGTACATGTCGAGTTCGCAGGACAGGTGTTATTCAAAGAACAGTGGTCCTTATCTAAAAGTAAGAAAATTACCCAGAGGCTGTTTAGATATTGGGCACAGGCACCCGAGATTGAGCGAAGTGTAGGGTGATTTGAGGTTTGAAATAAGTCTTTATGAAACTAAATAAGCTAATGCTATTGCTGGTGTGATATGCTTATTTGTATAATTATTACATAGGTTTACTTCATATATACAAATACGTAATTTGTTTATACTAAACGTTAGAAACAAATTTACCAAATTTTTAACCAAACTAGGGATCCAAGGATAGTGCAAAGTTTTCATGCCCTGTAATACCTAAGCAGCACGTTTTCCCAACATAAACATTTTGACTTATGGCAGTAAAAATATAATGAAATAGGTTAAACATTAATCAAAAGGAAATAACTCAAAGTACTCAAGTTACGTTAGTCGCGGATACCGGTATTGTCACTATTAAATTATAATTTTAGTTGCCCATGTAAACCGGGCGCGATTTTCTCAGTTTAGTCTCTTTTCTTCGTCAAACAACTGTGACTACATTCACTACATTTTATGATGGCAACAATTATCCGTCATTTCATAAGAATAGCCAAAATAGTTGCGTTGTAAATAATGTAAATAAACCGCGGTGCATATTATATGAGTGGATACTTCGACGCGTAAATCGATACAAAACAATATACTTATAATCAATACTGTATACAGCCAAAATGATTTGATTACTGCACAAAATGCCCGTTTTGTATAGCATCATTTATGTACTGTATGCAGAATACAAGGTATCGACTTGCTATCGACATAATATATATTCGTCATTCGTGTAAGAGATTAGAGATCTATCAATACATAAACAACACAGCGTCGTTTCTTTCTAACCTCTTATGTAGCTCTATTTATGGAATAAACCTTCCAAATTATATTTGTGTCGAATTGAATGCTCGTAATTCATAACATAAGTTCATAAATTGCGTAGATTCTCAAAGAATTGCACGATTTTTACGCCCGGAATGTTTTGAAGCAATGCTCGTCGCTCCTTGTTTCTTTACATCGTGAATAATGTTGAAGGCTCGACGGCGCATGCGCAGTTGCGAGTTGCGACCTATAGGAAAAAAATCGGGTGTTCCGGGGGCAAATCTGCGCAAATCCCTTTGAAACAAAACCCAAACCGCGGAAAAGCAATGCTTCAAAATTTACAGTAACGGTCAAAATTCCTCAATATTTTGCAAAAAGGATTTAGCAAAAGGGATGTAGTAATAAATAAAGCAAGTTAAACTGATTTAAAAACTTTAAATTACTGATCATATACAAAAAGGTACTATACGAATAAATCAATCTACCCCCCGTAAAGTTTACACTATGACTGACTGACTGTCTGACTGACTGACTGTCTGTCTGACTTACTGACTCGTTTGAATTTTCGCCACTCATCACAATACTGCAAAGTTTCTCAAACTTTGCACTAAAAACAGAAGAATGAGCAGAAAATGACCAGTTCAAAAATTTGCATACAATTTACGTGCGTCATGACGGTGATGCTGTAAAACTCCGGCAAAGTAAAAATACTTTTTACATAGTCCCTTGATATAAAGCCTATACACAATAGATTTCTATCGTGTGATATTACTTGAAAGTTACTGGGATTTCCCAGCGCATAGCTTATAAACACAAATGAAGCATGGTCATTTGCAACTCATCAGTTGCAATTGGACCAAGATGGGAAAGGCTAAAGAACACAGCCTAGAACTTAGGCAACGTATAATCGACTTCCACAAAATTAAACGGGATCGTCTTTGGGAGAAATTTCGAAACGATTACAGATTGGCCATCTGTTGCTACAATAGTACGCAAATACAAAACCGTTGGGATAATTCACACCTTACCACGATCGGGAAGAAAACTATTGTTATCTGCTACTGCTGAGCAAAAATTGGTTAGGATGATTCGGAGCAACTTTATCCTCACCTTCTAACCAAATAAAAAAGATATCATCAATATACCGTAGCCACACCCATGATTTTATCTCCTGTTGTTCCAAAAATCCCGTCTCTATCATGTCCATAAAGATACATGCATACGGCGGGGAAAATTTAGTGCCCATGGCCGCCGAAGTTTGACGATAGACATCCGAATTAAACTCAAAAATTTTCTTTTTAAGGACAAATTCCGCCAAATTAGTAAGATTTTCTGATGACACTTTTGTGTTCGCAGACCATCATCGTGTGGGATAATGGGGTAGAGACTCGTAACATCGGCCGTAACGATGCATTTTCCAGAAGTTTACCTATTTCTTTCAATTTATAATTATCCAGAAAATGCCCTGTATCTCGAATGTAAGATTTCCCAGCTCTCATAATAGGCTTAAGATGGTGGGCTAAAAACTCAGAAGCCTTTTTTGTTGGAACCCCACAATTCGAAATGAGAGGACGTCCTGGCACATTAAGTAACCTTTTATGAATCTTAGGTAGCAGATACAATCTACCTACCGTACACGAATTCTTAAAATTGTACGAAAAATACTTAAGTTCATTCTCAGAGATGTTTCTCTGCTTGTGAAGCCTGTTGAATATATCATTGCTTCCATTACTAATTACTAATTTCGTTGTAAACCTTCGTTCCCCAGACTACCACGCACGACCGTTCGTCTGCTAGTTTAATAATTATACTTTTATCCTCTATTAACGTTTTCAACGCCAAGTTGCCAACCACTCCTTCTTGCTAAGATTAAATTTGTGGGTTTTCTTAGGGACAAACTCAAACAATTCTTCAATTTGATTTAAGAACAACTCCAACGACGGACCGCCTTTTGGATTAGTACCCCTCCGGGTTGATTATTTAGTTTACTTGATGAAGATATTAAAGCCGAAACGTTGATAATGATTTTGTGATTGACTTATAAATGGCTTTTTGACAGGTGATTGCCTTATCATATTATAGAATTGAATAGAACATTCACTTCGTCTCTTTAGATGTGAAAGCAGTTAATTCAAGAATAAATGTATTGATTGAATTTCAAGATTTAGTAACACAACAATGGAAAACACATTTGTGAAATGCATGGAAAAAAGAAGCGAAACATTGTTGTGGTCGGCTCTTTGATTTCTTCGATTGTGGTAATAATAATTGGTTAATTTTTTCAGTAATCTGGCAACCTTGATTATATTCCCTAGATATGCCCACTTATCGCGCGCAACCGTCATTTTGAACCGTATAACTTATGAAATTAATAATTATAGAGTTTTACATTAAATGTTTTGATTGAGCAATAGCTTCTATTTTCCGAAATATTGAAAACGAGATGTGAGCGAAACTTATTTTTTAAAAGACAAAATATGCATGCATGCATGCACAAATCATACTCAGCGGTAGTGGCGTAGCCACCCTGACGATTTTGTCCTTACATGTAAATTTTGAGTTATTAAAATCATTGATGTCTTCAGAATTTCATTGTTTTCACGGTAGATGAACACCAAAATATTAGCATAGCGGGACAAATCGTCAGGTTGGCTACGCTATTGATCGTGCAAACGTACAGAAAACAATGAGTGACCTTCTGCGGGAACTTACCAAACACAACAATTATTCGTGTTGCTTCAGTTGAAAGTGAAATCGTAGTAGCCACTGTATCTGTCGATTTATCATATTTATCAATTTGTGATGTTGTTGTATCGAGGATATAATAATATCCATTTCCATCTGCGATGTCCACAGTTGTAATACTTCCTGATTGATCTGTTCCTATCTGTGAAGTCTGACCATCGTACGTTGTTTTCAATATCTTGTAATTTGTCTCAGAAGTAAATAAAATCCAATATACGGTTTTATTCACGATATCAAGCGCAAGATGAGTGCCTATTTCAGTGACACCAGAGTCAAGAGTTTGATCAGTTCCAATAGCAAGACTGTACCGGATGAGATTTCGATTGTTCGTAATATCAGTGGTGAAAAATATTGCTCTAAATGTAAATTTTATATTAGGTGCAAGCGTATATAATATTATCATGTTGAAAAACAAAAAGTTGAACAACGTTTATTCAAATTAATTATTCATTTTCATCTGAAGAGGCTTGATACGATCATAGAACGCTTCAATTTTCGATATATCACATTGCCAAATTATAAGAATGATTGCAACAAGTGACGAATATTATCAGAAAATGTTGTGTTAAGTTTAACTTAAGTGCTTATAGAACATGCCGAAGTCACTATACAGGGTGTCTAAAAAAACGAAAACTATTAATAATAACAATAACAACAAGAAGCCTAATTTAAATGTAATCATATTCACAATTACAAATTTTTCGTACTTAGCATTTTATAAGTTGCATTAAATCCTTACGGGCTAAAATTCGTGAACAGCTAGGGCATTCAAATTTTAACAATGACCGATTTCAATAGTTGCCGTTTTTTTGAGACACCCTGTAGATGCGAACGAAGAATATGTCCTGCTACGATACTGTTCCGATCCACAACATAACTATACTTATATCGAAATGATCCAATAGCTATGCTTTAAAGAGTTGCTACAATGGCCAGCAATTGTCGTCTAATTCTTTCTACATAGCAACCTTTTCGGGAGAAAACTTTTCGAAATAGCTGCAAATAAGACGTCGTAGTTCAGTGATCTCTAGTCTTTTTCTCAGAAGCGCTACAATAGATTAAGTATAGCCTATAAACCCACTGCGAGATGTCAAGGTTCAAATCATGCCTGGTACCATTTTGTTTTCGAATTGTTTTACGATTTGAACCAGCGACATTACCTTTCGGTTAGTTCTTTGGTTTTTGATCGATTGAATTTTGTAATAAACATTCTTCATAATTAACATGCTTATATTTTACCTGTTATAAGGATCGATTTGCAAATCCCTGAAATCATTGTCTGGTGATACACCAATATCTGGTAAGTCGTTCCCATCATAGTCAATCAATTTAAGGTTAAAATCAGACTTGGTGAGATAATAGACACTTTGATTCGCTGCATCAACAGCAAAGGGACCGAAATTTGATGGTACCGAAACATTTTTCAAATCACTCCCATCCAAATTTGAGTAATACAGTTTCTCACCGTCCTTATAATACCAAAGACGGTAGTTCAGTTCGTCGTAAGCAAGCGTCGCGCTTGGTGTCTTCACCAAGGCTTTAGATTCCCCACCATCAATAGAAACATAGGAAATGTGAGTGGCGTTTGTATAGAAGATGTATTCAATTTCACCTCCTTTGTCTATATTGACAAAACATTTAAAGATTTTAGTAGTGAAAGCTAACAAATAAATAATAGTATATAATTTATGTGCAAAGATTTGTATTGGGTTTAGGCGGATCAATAAATATAATTAAATTAAAAAATGAACGAGACTGATATTAATAAATTTAGTAAACTAAACTGATTGTATTCTAGAACCAATTAATGCATGGATACTGAAATATTTGCATCGTGGGGGTAAAAATATTCAATCTAACGTGGCCATCTTGCGAGTCGACGAGTCTTTTCATCAGAATATCCAAGCTACACTTATGTACATTTGTTTGTTTCAAGTTTTTCGCAGTGTTTTTTGAGAATTTGTATGCAATAAAAACCGCTGGGGCCGTTTAAAGGCAAATCTTTACATCATATTTTTTGAATCGCTTGTTTACATAGTTGAATATCTTTCTCCATAATTATTTTCTGGTCTGACAAAACCCATATTTTGTAAAGATTCTAAAATGAACAGCGGCTCAGAAGCTCAGAATCAAAACGGTGGATTGAAATTTAACCCAGTTTTATTATAAAGGGTGTCCCAAAAAAAACACGAAAACTATTGAAATCACCCATAATAATGTAATTGTTAGAGTTTGAATGCCTAAGCACTCTGCTGGACCCACAATTGTATAAATGTTTGCCATACTACCTTTTATGCATTATGCAGTAAAATTTGTTTGTACCCCTTTGTCGACCTTTGTTGAAAAGCGTTTCGCAATTCCGTTGTACTTTGGGTAAGCGTATAATTTATCACAATAAAAACTGTTGTTTCGCGGTTAGCTGTACCATTTTCTTTCGAAGCAATAACAAGGCTAATTTAAATACACAATTTCAAATTTTTCGTATTTAGCCCTTTATAAGTTGCATTAAATCCCCACGGGCTAAAATTCGTGAACACGGCATTCAAATTTTAACAATGAGTGATTTCAATAGTTTTCGGTTTTTTTAGACACCCTGTAGTTGTTCAAACAGGTAATTTGAAACACGTGTTCATCATTTTGAGCATATGTTAGGGTTGATACCGGTGGAATGATTGGTTTGTTGTGTTATGTATTTATATTTAAGAATTAGTCGCCGAAGGCGAGGTGATTACAAACATAGTGAATATAGACTTGAATATCACTGAGCCTGAGATCACTAATTGTTTTAGTGTAATTTCAGTATTGAAAAAGTTTACTTAATATCGATAAAAATACTTATTATATTCATTTTGAAATCAATGGTGTTTCTTGCAATCTGATTGGTTAAAAATAGTGTGATAAATTCCCAAATCGCACTTTGAGCATTAATCACATTTTTTATTCATTCATCATTCATCATAAGCCAATAACATTGTGAAGCTCTGCACCATAATAACCTATCAGATTTTGTATTTCAGTGCAATTATCCGATCAAATTACAGCGGAAAAGGGCACAATTTTTTTTTAGTTTGAATTTTTAAACCCCCCGCAAAATTCTTTGAAAAAAATATATGAAAATCACTCACAATTTACGCCGTTTACGGTTACGGCACGGTTCTTTCAGCCAATAAATCGTTTTGAATTTGTTTAATTTTTGTGTGATTTCAAAATGGAAATTACACTTCCGGTCGTGCAATTTTGATGTGAAACCAAACTTGTGATTAAAATCACGCATTTGTAATCATGCGTTGGATTTCACACCAAATAACACTCCAGTGCCATTTCCATTATAAATATAAACAGAGTTTATACTGAAATTATACTAAAGACGTATAGGTGAAGATATATGTGAACTTGTAAGTGTTATCGGAGTACCCCGCGCCAGCGATGTAACTGAATACCGATGTAACCGTTTACACTACACTGAATTTATTGGCACGGCACGGCTAAAATAGGTCCCGTGCCCAATTTTATTAGTACTCAGGCTACCAAAACAAAGGCCGGGCATAGATGCAATGGGCACGGGTACCCATTTTAGCCGTGCCGTGCCAATAAATCGAGTGTAGTGTAAAGCCCCGTTTAACACTACACTCGATTTAATGGCACGGCACGGCTAAAATGGGTACCCGTGCCCGTTTTATCTATGCTCGGCCTTTGTTTTGGTAGCCTGAACACTAATAAAATTGGGTACGGGTACCAATTTTAGCCGTGCCGTGCCGATAAATTGACTGTAGTGTAAACGGGGCTTAAATGGGACTTAAGTAGCTATCCTAACTTGGACACCCGTAACTTATTCACTCATTCGCATCTATCAAAAGAAGAAAATCGCACATAAAATCGCAGCAAAAATGTAAAAGTGTAAACGGGGCTTAGTGTGGGACTGAACTCCAAAACTCACCTATGCAACTTCTTTTATTTCCTTTATATCCAGATAGACACTCGCAAGTGTAAGAACCATCAGTGTTTGTGCAGTTTGCATTGTAGCCACATGGATCACCCTGGGTACATTCATCGATATCTGCCCAAATGAAAATGATGAGGTTAAGTTTGATTATTGGATATTTACAGGGTGAGTAAATTAGCCGCGAACTTCTGGCTGGAATTTGACAATACCCATGTGTACAATCAACAGGACGTGGTTAAATAATGCGAAAAGGTTAAACCGGTTGAACTAATTCAACGTGGCTCGTGTGCTATATAGAAAAACGGAGCTTAGAAATTAGAATCCATTTTAACTCCAAAGGGAACAAAGGTTAATTAGGTTAATTAATGGGGGTTCACTTATTAGATATGCTTCTTATACCCATGAGATATTTTAGGCAACTTCTGTCATATTGCAGTTAATTTGAATTTCTAAGGTGTCAGTTTTTTTTTTACTTGCCCTGTATAGCATCAAGTGAGTCTTTTTGTTTTCTATTTCAAAAAGTGCACGTACGTATGCATTGGGCATTGAAAATCCGCGTATTGAAACAAGATCAACGCGAATAGACAAAAACGTGATTCACCCTGACTCAATTAAAAAAAATATATATTATTATATTATCATCTTCCACTTTTGTGTTTTCGTCAAAAGATTTAGTCTGGAAGACGATAGATCTAATAGCTATTGATAGAATCCATCATACCGTTCTAAGCTTCAAGCATGCACATTTTAAAAATACTTTTTGGAGGTCATCTGCAATTCATCAAGGAAATGAAAGAGATAATCTAATATCCTTTTCTACATTCGAGCTACTGTTTTTTTCCTGTATATAACGCCATTTCGGACCTTTTCAGGTTATTCGATATTCTCGCATTGATCCGCGAACAATTTATATTAATGTCTGCGTACCTTCACAATTTGTTCCTATCCCAGTATAGCCTTCCTTGCATGTGCAGAAGTAACTTCCTGGCGTGTTGGTGCATGTCGCATTATCATGACAATAACCGCCAACACAACATTCATCTAAATCTGAAAAAAATAGTTTGGATGTGTTGCTTGATCCAAATTCATAGCCCTTGTAGCACATGTCTCATGCAAATAGGTGAAATAAAACTACAGCCAGCTAATCACTCAAGCAAATGTGGAGAAAAACAAGTTCCAAAAATATTTTTAAACTCAAATCTGGATCTTCAAGATGAACGTTTGTTTCAGAATTTGTTTTTTGTTGTATTTCATTCAAATTACATACAATTCAGGCTTGGGTAATTCATTCTCGTTTGCACTGAGATTATTCTACAAGTATGAAATGTTTAAATGTATTTTAGTAGTTGACAAAAGAAAAAACAAAAAGATGTCATGTTTCAAAATGAAATTTCGTTGGGCGCAATAGTATTCACTTTTAACGTTTGGAACTGTTTTGAATTAGTTTCTTCATCTAACATCCCCTTAAATCCACAGAGATAACTCCTCCACTACGGCCAAGTTGCGAAATTCCGAGTCCGTTCCAAAGTTCGCAAATTCATTTCGAGGTTCGGAAATTCGTTGCGAAGTACACGCCCAACATTCCAAATATGGAGTGTATTCAATAATTTTACGATGAAAGATCAGCTGAAATTAACTGTAATTCGATGCTCGTAATTCATAACATAATTGTTCATTAACTGTGTAGATTCTTAAAGAATTACTCGATTTACGCGCCGGAATGTTTGAAAGAACACTCGTCGCTTCTCGTTTCTTTACATCGTGAATATTGATCAAGACCCGTCGGCACATGCGCAGTTTCGAGGTATAAGAAAAAATCGGGTGTTTCGGGGTAGCTATTTTAAACTTCCCATGGAAAGGCTGTCGAGTAGAATAGAAATTTTATATCCATTATTTACAAAATCAAAACTTTTCATAGTAGATACTGAATTTTTTATGAAACTTTTCTTACCTTCAACAACAGTTATTTCTTGTGGTGAATCACTGAGGAAAAATGAATCTTGGAAAGCAGCAGTGGGTCTGTCAAACACATCTATACGTTTCCTTGTGCTATCCATTACATAGAAATTATCTTTCCCTTTTGCAACGTTTACTGAACTTGTTGTACCAGAGTAGAACTTGACTTCCGACGTTGAACCATTGAAATATGTTTTCATAAGAGAAAAACTATCACTAGCAGCAATATAATCAATCCAATAAATAACTTCATACTGAGGGTCAACTGTCAGATATTTTGGTGATGTGTCGTTATGGTAAACAACCTCATTTGTGTCTTTGTCAAGAAAATAGCGAACAATGTCGCCTCTGGTAGCGTCAGCAAATACAAGGGAGCTAAAAAAGAGACATTAATTCAAATTAAAAATTTGTGGTAACACCGCTATAAGCATGCAAAAAAAATGTCCTCACAATTTCATTATGACAATCGCAATATTCATCAGTTAAATTCAATCATTAATTTTTAGTATGCGATTGTATTTCTATAGTCGTTCGAGTTCACCCAACTAAATAGGGATAGTATTCCCAGAGCCGTAGCAAGACCACTTAATAGACCTTTTCCCTTATAAAAAAATCGCTTCTAAGCAGAGCGATATCGCAACTCAAAGTTGCTTGATAATCAACTACCGTCACGCATTACGCGATTGAAGCTAAGAGGGAAACGTCTATTGGGGGAGAGCCGGAGAGGTGTATCTTCAAATATTCATCAATAGCGTACAAAAGAAATCATCCGGTCGTAAGACCAATATATGAAAATACACTACAATGGTTGTCGCTATGCACGAATTTATCAGCCGTACCCAGGCGCTTCGAATAACTATAAATATAGGCAAACTACAGCATTTTATATCGATCAGTAAAGAAGCTGAGGGAGCGCGCTAAAAGCCTGGGGCCTGTTGTTCAAAAGCCGGTTAGCTTAACCCAGGGTAACTCAAATTATCACATCACTTTTTTTAATCGCTCGTTAATGAGGTTGAACATGTTTTTTTATAAATATTTTGTGGATCAATAAAAGTCTTACTTTGTAAAGTCTTGAAACAAATAGTGGTGCAGACGCATACAAACCAAAACAGCGGAGAAAGATTTAACCCAGGTTTAGCGCTAACCCAGCTTTGAACAACCAACCGACCCCTGCAGTATAATAATCCCCGAGCCGGTGCGGAGCACAGTGCGAGGGAACTAATTCCGCCCGGAGATTAGGAATTACACCCGGGACCCGGGAGAAGCGGAATCCAAAGTCGCCTCAATTTGGACCATGGACGTTCAATGGTATGGTACTTGTGCGCATGCGCGAAATGCGAACGAGCGTAGACTGGTAATCAGCAACTTCCTGATTGATTGAAATAAGAATAAAAAATTTAGAATACACTACGTCCACAACAAATTTTAGCGGGTGTATCGAGAAAAAGGTAAAACTGAAAGTCAAAAGTAAAATGTTAACCAAAAGAAAAGTTTTTCATTCATTCACGTGTTAATTATTTGCGCACCTGCTATCCGGATCACAATCCAAGTCGACAACATTAGAAATATTGGTTGGATTAAGCCCCGCTGTATTTCCAGTATTCAAGTCAATAACATTTAGTGATTTGAATAGTTCAGTAACGTAGTAGACCTTTCTTGCTATATGATCTACTGTAAAGCGAAAGATGGTCGAGAGAGATGCTATCGTGGTTGCATTACTTCCGTCCAGTTTAACTGTGATAAGACTGGTGCCATCGTAGTAGAGGAGTCTTTTAGTCCCAGAATCATAATTCAGTTTCACGTTGGTTGCTGATAATATGGTCACAGTCGTGTTACCGTCAGAGAATACGCCTTTGATAGCATCGGTTGTTGCATAGTATAAGGCATCGGCTTGGCACGTCAACACTACCCAAATTACAAAAAGACTTTAAGAAGTGGCCATGAAAACCGTACCTATTCTAAATTTTTCCGAGGATACGCACTAGATTACGTGAGAACTATAAACCCCGGCCCTTATGACAGCTAAACCCTTGTGATTACCTTCACAAAATAAGCCATCACCACTGTAGTTTGCTTTGCAAACGCAGTCGTATGATCCATCCACGTTTGTGCAAGTTGCATTTGAATGACACGGAGCAATCGTTTCGCATTCGTTGATGTCTATATTCGATATAATTGTACGACGTTAAGCGTTTTTTTTATCAAATTGTCTGGGAATTTTGCGATTACACAGTTGCGAGTTAATAGAGTTCGCACTTTTTTAAAAATGGATTGGAAAATCCTTAAAAACCAGTTATATACGTAAGTAATGTTCGAAATATTGTCGGAACTTGCCTGTGCAATTTGTTCCGTTCCCTTCAAACCCAGATAGACACTCGCACGTGTAAGAATCACCGATGTTCGTGCAGTTCGTATTAAAACCACATGGATCACCCTCCGCACATTCATCGATGTCTGTCGAATTAAAATGATCGTGTTCTAATTAAATTTTTAGATATCTATAGTATCTATACTGGCTTTTCATTCAACCGCATTAAAAACTCGCGTATTGAAACAAGATCAATGCGATTTGGCTGAATGCGCTTTCGTTAAAAGAATTAGTTTGTCAGAATATGAAGTCAAACAATCTGGCGTTTACTACAAATTTGAAATAAATGTTATCTGCTTTTTATTAGGGTTAGGTTAACCTAAAAATTCTGTTTTTAGGACGATACCACAAAGGCTGTTTTCGCCTGCAGAAATCAGGTGTAAAATGACTGCGATGATGTTCGTACCAGTTAAACGGTATTGCGCATAATCTATGTTTCATGAACTTTATTATTGGTGACACGGGGAGGGCGTTGCGGTTCGAAAATCACGCACATATAGCCCTTTTCCACAAGACGAATTTATTTGTGCGAACGAATAAAAAGTGCATGGGAATCGATTATATTTTTTGACGGCGAAACGTGAGTGATATTGATAATTGCAAGATTGCATTTCTTGGTTTTAGATTATAATTATTTTCCAACAAACATCTAGATATCGCTTCAGTAGCGTAGCCAGCCTGTCGATTTGTCCCGCTATGCTAATATTTTAGTGTTCATTGACTGTGAAAATAATAGATTTCTAAAGAAATGAATAATAATTATAATAACTCGAAATTTACCTAGCGGGACAAAATCGTCTGGCTGGCTACGCCACTCGCTTGAATTCTTAATGTTCAATGTAGTATAAAGTTCTTGATGCAATATAAAATTTAGCATTCCTAAACATCCCGTGGTCAGAAATCATAATCTTCAGACAAGCAATTTTTTTCAGATTTTTCGATTTTTTTCTTGCTTTCCCGAAGCGAAGATTGAAACCCGAAATTGTTCTTAGGTCGTTATGAACAACGTTTTCCGTCGTTAAAGTATAATTGAGTTCTATTTTCATTCAAGATCAGCTTTCTGAAATGGCTGGTTTTCGATCTAGAAAAGGAAACCTGTTTCTATCCCTTGAAGTAAATAATCTAAATTTAGCTTGTTCACACTAAAATTGATATACACTTAATGTATGCTCCAGAGGGAAATAGTGAGTTTTGTTATTGCAAGAGTCTGAATTTTCGTCTCGGGAAACATTGAGACTCGAGGGAAAACAAAATTCACTATTTCCCGAGGGAGTGTACATTAAGTGCTCTGTGCTTTGTTATACTGTATAGGAACAAAAACATACATGTTACGCAACAATTCTATTTAAAAAAAAACTATGAATGAACCAATCACAATCAAAATATACAACACCTATATAACAATATTATTTGTTTATACTGGCTAAATTGATACTTGTAGTCCATTTTATTGTACAGGGTGTCTCAAAAAAAACGCAACCACTTGAATATGCTGTGCAAGAACATTAATACAGCTCTAAAGTGCACCTCTTGGAAATGCCAATGCTAAAAGTCATTTTAGCTGAACTATTGTGCAAACCCGAACAATATTAATATTCTTGCATACGTAAGTGGTTGCGTTTTTTTTTTGAGACACCCGGTATACTGCTCTGGGGCCGGTTGTATCACGCCCGTTCACCTTAAACGGTGGATAAGTTCAAAATAGAAAGCAAGTCTGCCGTTTTGTTCAACAAGCGAACTAAATGTTTTTGACCTTAATACAAAGATACTGTTTACAACTACATATTCAGTGCATAATGTTCAAGTTGACTCAACATTCAAGAGAGATTTAACAGTGTTATTTAATTTTGACATATCCGCCGTTTAAGCTAAACGGGTTTGATACAACCGACCCCAGGTTAGAAATACGGCAGGTAACTGATGAAATGGACACGGGCACCCATTTTAGCTGGGCCGAGGGTTCATTTCATAGGCGTACGAGGCGGAAGGAGAGAGCAGCTCGGGTCCACAAAACGTGCTTATTACCACAGTTCCGGCAAAATATAATTTTTTAGTATCAACTCACCTATGCAATTTGTTCCATTTCCTTTATATCCAGATAAACACTGACAAGTGTAAGAACCAACAGTGTTTGTGCAGTTCGCATTGTAATCACATGACCCGTTTGTACATTCGTCGATGTCTGGCGAATCAAAAATTAGGGTAAATTAAACAAGAACAAGGCGAGAAGGCGTTCAATTATGCTACGACCCCAGGATGCTACGAAAATATGTTGCTTTCGTAGATCTACCACAGCTAACTAATTTAACAGAACAAAACAGTGAAAGCAATGTATGTGAAATAAGAAAATCATAATCGTTCAAACGAAACACTCAATCTGCTCAAAAAGGTATATGCGTCAAATTTTAATCTATTGAAACATTTTACATCGTATGAGAAATGCCAAAATAGTAACTACATAAGTCTAAACGACAAAATACTTATCTCTGAATATCTTCTCTGAACCGCAGTAGTTGTGAATGTGATTGGGTGTTCTGAGCCCTCACGATTTGCGATGAATAATAAATACGCTAGCGCTAGCTATACAGGGTGTCTCAAAAAAACCCCAACAACTTCAATAATTATGCAAGATAGAATATTAATATTGTTCGGGTTTACACCATAGTTCAGCTAAAATGGCTTTTAGCATTTTAAATGAAGGATTAAGAGCCATTTTCAATTCCCAGAGGTGCTTATCTATTGCGCTTTAGAGCTGTATTAATTAATGTTCTTGCATATTTAAGTGGTTGCGTGTTTTTTGGGACACACTGTATTATTTGGGGCTTCAGTAAAGTATTATGTTCAGTGGCGTAGTTAGCCTGATGATTTTGTCCCGCTATGTAAATTTCGAGTCTTTATAATTATTCATGTCTTTAGAAACTTATTGTTTCCACAGTCAATGAAGCCAACATACAGGGTGTATCAAAAAAAAGGAGACCTTTAGAAATCAAGCTATTGTTAAAATTTGAATGCCTTTTCAATTGCATTTGCACAAAATTATGCTGAACCGTAGTGCGTGAAATATTGATGGCATGCATGCATACATTAGAAAATGAATTGACGTTTGTACACAAGATTGTCTGCTCCTGGGAATTTAATAGCATAAGGAAAAATAACGACCCAAAAATATTCAAATGACTAAGCACACCCTGTATTACCAAAGCGGGACAAATCGTCAGACTGGCTACACTACAGATTATGTTTCCGGATGGATTTGTTTTTTTATCACACTGAATTTTTCTTAGATTCAGAAATTTTTTTCTTCTTCAATAAATTAAATACGTTTTTCTTCGGTTTTTTTTCAGATCGGAATTGTGTATGATTTTTTAATTCATCTCCAAAATAACGTATACCTTGGCAATATGTTTGATTTCCAGTGAATCCAGTGTCACATGAACATACAATGGTGCCAGGAGAGTTCGTACATGTCGAGTTCGCAGGACAGATATTATTCAAAGAACAGTGATCCTTATCTAAAAGTAAGAAAATTACCCAGAGGTTGTTTACATTGAGAGATTGTTACGAACAACCACATGCTATTTCTGGGATCTTATAGTATAAAATACATTACGCTTCGTTTTGAATCTCTGTTAACTTTTGAAACTCTGTTAACCCTATATATCTAAAAACAGCTAAATCAAGAATCATATATTGCATAAATTTAATTATAATATGTGTATAGAGATTTATGCACAGCAGAATGAAGAAATAAAAATCGTATTTCACTGTGTAAATTAATTTCATGCAATTTGATTGGACGTACGATGTTTTTCACGTGTGAAAAAATGCCATACACGGCTTTTGATTGGACGTACGATATTCTTCACACGTGAAAAATTGTCGTATGTCATTTTGGCGGCAATTTGTTTACATTTTCTTTCAAGATGGCGTCGAAATATAGGAGTGAGATTCAAAATATAATTCTCATATTCAAGATATTTTTACATTCAGCACATTCTCAAATCTTTCGGAAAGAATGTCTAACTTCTATTGAACAAAATTACAAAGAAACTGAACAGTAATAAATATGTTTTGAATTGTTTTTATGCATAAAGTTTCGATTTTGTTGCTCGCTGTGTTTTTGTATAATAAAGCGTGTTGTTGTCAAATTTGATCTCTATACACATTTAATAAACAAATTACTTCATGGTTGGCTCGTTTGTACGATTTTTACTATGCACTCGTTGCGAAGTATCGCAAACTCACTCGTTCGTATTGCGATCCTTCACAACTCGTGCATAAAAATCGTACGCACTCGCCAACCATGAAGTAATCTCTATATATTATTCAAAATGGAGGTTGCATGATGAGTGGGCAATATGATATTTCTGGCTATTTCGTAAAATTTTCGGCGAATTTTGTTTTCGATTAAAAGACAAAGTATTCATTCGCCTAAAAATCATACTAACCTAAAACCATGAGCAACTTTTCTGCGGGCACTTACCAGACACAACAACCATTCGTGTTGCTTCAGTTACAAGTGAAATCGTAGTGGCCACTGTATCTGTCGATTTATAATATTTATAAATTTTTGATGTTGTTGTATCGAGGATATAATAATATCCATTCCCATCTGCAATGTCCACAGTTGTAATACTTCCTGATTGATCTGTTCCTATCTGTGAAGTCTGACCATCGTACGTTGTTTTTAATATCTTGTAATTTGTCTCAGAAGTAAATAGAATCCAGTATATGGTTTTATTCACGGTATCAAGCGCAAGGTGAGTGCCTATTTGAGTGACACCAGAGTGAAGAGTTTGATCAGTTCCATCAGCAAGACTGTACCGGATGAGATTTCGATTGTTTGTAACATCAGTGGTGAAAAATATTGTTCTAGGAAAAATAAATAATAAATTAGATGCTAATGATATACTTTTGTTCAAAAACAAGAAGATAAGTAACTCATTTCAAACGTATAAACATATAACTGAGATATATCTCATGAGCTTAACACGTCCTTTTCTTGCACCCAGAGTCTTCTGTGTTAAAAGGGCGCGGTACAACGCAACGAAGACCCTGTTGAAGCTCATGACGTCACATTTCGCCTGAAGGGTTATAACGAAAGTGTCATATTACATGTTTCCACTTTCATCTGTCTTACTCCGGATTTCCCCTTGTTGGTTCATATCGCGTTTTTATCTTGCTTAGAATTTGCGGTTCTTAATAGTTTGTACCAAGAAGGTTCTCTGTCTTGAGAACATGTATCTTAAAATGTGCGTTTCGCCAACGGGTTATGGAAAATCTTTGATTTTTCATCTTGTTCGCAAGGTCCATTTTACGTGGCGATTTGCTTCTTTCGTGGAGATTGAAAGGTATTTGTACGGCATCAGTTTTTCCATCGTATTTGTACGACATCGGTATTCGCCCATCGGTTTTAAATATCAAACGTGTGAAGACTGCACAGGATAAAACCGAAGTCAAAGAAGATGATGTTAACATTGATTTCTGGATTTGCGAAGAGCAAAAGTTGTGCGATGGTTATTACCACATTGTTTTCACTCATCCAGAGTCATTTATTTCATGTAAACACGGACGTGATTAATTGTTGAGCGTAAAATACACCGATATGGTTGCAAATGTCATTGACGAAGCGCATTGTATATTAGTGGCGTAGCCAGCCTGACGATTTAGTCATGCTATGCAAATTTTATGTTATTATCAGAATGCTCCAATACCTAAAAACTTTTCGGAAGTATACGAAGTCTCCTTGGAATGGCGAATTATAGCGCTAAGTACATTCCCAATTTTGCCACCATAACAGCCCCATTACGTAATCTAAGTAAAAATAACACGCCATTTACGTGCACAGATACCCACCAAAACGCCTTCTATCAACTGCTCTAGCCTCAGCACACTGTATGCATGGCTTACTTTGATACTGTTGATGCAAGTCCCGTTAGCGTATCAGCTATTTGTCTCAGAAAACAAAAGAAAAGGACGAAGAAAAGATCGTAGCGTATGCAACTAAGAGCTCTGACTGACGTGGAAAAACGCTATTCACAAACTGAAAAGGAAGCTCTGGCTATCATTTACGGAACACTTTGATTTTAATATCTATACGAACATGAATTTATTCCAATTAAAGAACACAAACCGCTGGAAATTATATACGGTAGTTTAAAATCGAAACCATCAGCATCGAACGCTGGGTACTATATTACAAATCCTGCAGACTACCTATCGAGACATCTAGTATCTAGCAGTCGTCAGCAACAGAAAATGACAGAAGAACATTAGATTTTGTTGTACGCCAGTGTACCAAAAGGAATGACTCTCAAAGAAGTTGACGCCGCAAGGCGTAATATCACAGTTTAATATTCATTTTTTGTAAACTGAGTGAATTTTATATAGCAACAACGCCACGGCAGTGCCGTTATAGGATTTATTGCAGAATCAAAATGGCGGCAACAAACAAAAAATTGCCGAACTTAGTTAAGAAGAAATTAATGTAATTATAGATAAATCCACACCGAAAAATACTAAACGGGCAACCGGTTAGGGTGTTTTAGTATTTAAAGGTATGCATGTGTTGTTTATTTAAGCTTGAAAATGATATAAAGTCTTTACGAGTTTACTCAAAATGAATATTAAAAGCATTAAAGCACTCTTTGTTTGTGTATTATCGGGTTTTACATGCACTCGTTCACAAACAAGGAACTCGGAGTTCAATACTGCATTCGGCTTCGCCTCGTGCAGTATTGAACTTCTCGTTCCTTGTTTGTGAACTCGTGCATGTAAAACCCGATAATGCACTCACAGAGTGCATTAATCCTTAAATAAACACTCGTTGTTCCGCGCTTAGCTGTACCAATTTCTTTCGAAGCAATAACAAGGCTAATTTAAATTTAATCTTATTCACAATTTCAAATTTTTCGTATTTAGCATTTTATAAGTTACATTAGATCCTCACGGGCTAAAATTCGTGAACACGGTATTCAAATTTTAATAATGAGTGATTTCAATAGTTTTCGTTTTTTTGAGACACCCTGTATATAGAGAGAGCGTAGATAACACTGAGAAAAAAACATTAATTTTGTATTGTTGATTATCATTAAAATTAATAAGAGAATATTATAGCACTCATTGGGGCTTCTTTCCTGAAAATATTCAGCGGCTATGGCAGCATGACGATTTTAATTTTGGCTCTCTATAATTATTTTACTTTTAAGCTTTTATAAATATTCATTTAAATCATTTAAATTTATTGAAACTTTGTTAGAAATATGCATTCTTCTTCATATTTGTCATCCCTACTATACCTGTTATAAGCGTCGATTTGTAAATCCCTGAAATCATTGTCTGGTGACACACCAATATCTGGTAAGTCGTTCCCATCATAGTCAATCAATTTAAGGTTAAAATCAGTCTTGGTGAGATAATAGATACTTTGATTAACTGCATCAACAGCAAAGGGACCGAAATTTGATGGAACCGAAACATTTTTTAAATCACTCCCATCCAAATTTGAGTTGTAAAGTTTCTCACCGTCCTTATAATACCAAAGGCGGTAGTTCAGTTCGTCGTAACCAAGGGTCGCGCTTGGTGTCTTCACCAAGGCTTTAGATTTTCCACCATCAATAGAAACATAGGAAATGTGAGTGGCGTTTGAATACAAGATGTATTCAATTTCCTCTCCATTGTTTTCTACATTTGCAAAACATTTAAAGATTTTAGCAGTGGAAACAAACAGATAATTTGTACTGTGTACTAGGATTCGTGATGTATAGTGTTTACACTGACAGATCAATAATTATAATAAAATAAATTAAATCAATGAGATGTTAATAAAAGCGAAAAAATAAATAAATTTCTGCTATCTTGCGAATCGATGTAGAGTCTTTTCTTCAGAACTATCTGACTATACATTTGTTTATTTTAAGTTTTGCCCATGTTCTTAAAGACTTTGTATGCGATGAAAGCGTCTGATTGTTTGTTTCGAACTGGGTCGCTATTATGAGTAATTTGACAAGCTGCATTTTCATCATGTACATAATTATTAGAATTGCCGGATTACAGGGGAAGGGGGAAGTCTGGATTTTCAATAGGCTAAAAATTGCGAGAAAGATAGTTGGTTTTTTCCGAGATTTCTAAGGTAAACAAGGTTATGAACAAATAATACCCTGATCGTGAAAGGGAGTTCAGACACTTCCATGCAGCCACATACAATTTTAATATTTTTGTGAGCCGTGCCCTTGACCGGATCTGGAATGATTAATCAGGCGCTGCTTGTTAGGATTGGTAGTGGTTGAATGGTTGGGTTGTTGTCTTTGTATGCGCACAAAATGTTATGGAGATGCCTTGCGCCGGCGAAGGATGAAACTGCTCTGATACCAGTTTTTAGGTGGAATTTTGCGCGCGGAACGGACTTTTTTACTGTCTGCGCGCTTTCACGCAGAACTTATGTGAGAAAAACTTTGCTCTGCGCCCAAAATCCCGCCAAGTGGAAAACAGGCTTTATATGTTAAAAAGCAAGCTCATAGCAGTCTGCCAATATGTAATGGATTATATGTAATTATTATACAACACAAAAGTATTAGGATCACACAGTAGTGTTGAAAATTGAAATGGTCATTTTATGAGCCACAGCAGTTTTAGTTTTTGATGCAAAATAAAAGGTTTGTTTCACATTATTTTATTCATGCGATAGCCACTTTCTCTTGGAAAAATTCATACGAGAACTCGTCTACCAAAAGACGAAAAGTCTTTGGCAGATATGCAAATAATACTAATCGAATCTTATTAGTTCAATTTCTAATAATTTTGTATCGTGACTCCAATTAATTTGGATCCAATCAATAAATTATGATTAAACCCTGCTTTGCGTGGTTTAACGTAACTTACCTAAAGTGAACAAAAGAAAGTAGAGAAACCATTGATTACCCATAAGGAGTATCGATCAATTTTATTTCTAACAAAAACAAAAATGTAAACAATCAGAAGTTTATATGCTTGTGGCTGAGCTGGAGTGTGCTAGGCATTAAGTCCTATATACCATGCAGAAAGACGATCTGAAGTTGCACATATAATATGTCTAAACTGCCCAGAGATTGTTTATTATTCAACACTTTAAAAGTTATTGATTGGTATTACCTCAAACTCGAAAATGTCCAAATTTTGTTAATGAAAAATAATTTTGTATAACTATGACCATTAGGAAAAGGATCGTTCCATCCGGATATTCCAATAAATTTACACTGCATTACATGATAAGCCTAAGTTTTCAGATTTGTTAAGGAATTTATTTTTATTAAGGAATTTGTAATTTTTTAGGGAATATATAATTAAATATTCTTCAGTATCGCGGCATGTCAAGCGTTGGCGTTTTAGAATGTTCGGTGAGCCGTTGTATACAAAACGTCGCAGTGTTTAAACTCTCTTGAACCTTGTAACACTCATTTCACTCTGATGTGCTGGTTCATTAATATTATTGTACGCGCCAGCCGTTGCCGTTACAGTTGCTGTTGTTATATCCTATAAGGTGTCTATATTAGTTTCGCCGAGAACCAAAATTCCAGACTTTTTTCATGATAAAGGACGACTAAATTTTGATAGAAGTAACAAGAGGGAAATAAACCACGAGAGCTAGAAAGAGTGTACTTAAATTAGTGCAAATGAAAAGTTTGGCGGCGAAATTCTGAAAATTGCTGCAAATATAGCAATGCGAAGTCGGCAATTTTTTTACTATTTATACGTTACCTGTGGAAATACGTCGGGGAATGTGTTATGCACTTCCGGCCGTAATACAGAAGTATACATAATTTGTGAACTCCGAATGGCTATATTTTCTGTAATTTACAATAATTCGCAGTAAAAATTGGAAGTTTTACTAATTTCAATATAATTAATATTATGCTCTTTCCGAATATTTCCTCATTATCGCCAAGGTGAGATATTAGTCTAAAGCGCAAGTCGTCCATTACGATATTATTAATTTGTAATAAACAATTACGACACGCTGACACAGTGTTTCCAAAGTTATGGCACAAGGAATTTATTAAGATACTTTTGACCATCAAATGATCGTTTTGTGATTATGATCCATAACATTACCTTAAATAAACTTGGCGTATGATAAACAAACGTCAAAACAAAAAATAAGTTATTTTAAAGCACGTATATATGCATTACATGATTGGAACGGCATTAAATTTTCTAACACTTGGCTTTCAGATTTTTTAAGGAATTTATTTTTATTAAGGAATTTATTATTCTTCAGTATCGCGGTCGCGGCATGTCAAGCGTTGGCGTTTTAGAATGTTCGGTTTGCCGTTGTATAAAAACGTCGCAGTGTTTTAAGTCTCTTGAACTTTGTAACACTCATTTCAGTCTTATGTGCTGGTTCATGAATATTATTGTACACCAGCCGTTGCCATTTTTTATACTTTTGTATTACGTGTATGTGGAAATGTGTAATAACACTTCCCACCGTAATTCAAAAGTATACAAAAATCGACAACTCCGCATGGCTATAATTTCCGTAATTTACAACATTTCGCAGCCAAAATTGGGAGTTTTACTAATTTTAATATATGATTTTTTAGGAAATGTTCTTATTATTGCCAGAGTGGGAAATTAGTCTAAAGCGCAGGTCGTCCATTACGTATTAATATTTTGCATTAAACATTACGACACACTGACACAGTGTTTCTAAACTTATGGCACAAGGAATTTATTAAGATATACTTTTGACTATCAAATGATCATTTTGTGATTATGATCAATGACTTTAACTAAAATAAACTTGGCGTATGCCAAACAAACGTTAAGACAAAATATTAAGTTATTTTAAAGCACGTATATAGCGGCGTATATCTAACTAATGTCTGTCCAAGAAAATGACTGTTGCAAAGCATTAATATTAAGATTACCTTTCAAAAGTAGAATTTTACTTCCAGATTTAGCTTCGTTGTGTTTGTTGTGAATAGAAGAATGGTAGCAATAATATTCAGGACAATGTAAAGCGGCAACAGCAGGCACCCTGCCGACTAATTACACCTCCTTGCCCTTGGTATATTTAATTGACCACTGTATTATTTTACTATATACATTTAGAGGTATTGGCCACAAAATATTCCGAGTAATAAATTAAGGAACTAATGATGGATACGCTCAGATACGCTATCGGCATATTGGGAAGTAAAATCGCCCAAGCGCAGGCAGTTCGGGAAATTTCGATTTAGATTTAGAAATATATTTATGGAATATTTCATTATCTCACTAGCACAGAGCAGAGACAGCGGTGTTTAAGATATCCTGGCGACAAACCGAATACATTCTTCGGATGCTTTGCATGCCATACTTACTGTTTACATTTTTGCACAGTTGTAATGGCAAAAATCCGCTCGAATAGTTTTAATAATTAATAATTTGGTTGCCCGTTTTCAACCGAAAACTATATAGAATTGGAAAATGTGTCATTGCCGTCTTTCCATCAAGAATAGAATTTGGAAAATGGCAATTCATTGTGATAAAAATGGCAAAATGTCTGGGAGGAATTTCTAAGAAGAGGTTTACATGAATAGACTACACCTTACACACGGAAATAAATAAGCTTATAATTAATAATTATGCCCAACACGCCAATCACAACTATCTGCAAAATAAATTAAGCGATCAAAAATCCATGTGTTATTGTCGCGCAAACAAATTGACAAGACGTTGGTACTGGTGCACGATTGCCCATTGTCATAACACGTTGATACCTACAAAAAATCTTCAAACGAATGTAATTAAAAATGGTCGTGGTGAGAATTCCTCTATGTCATGTTTATAGGAGCTTGCTCTCCCAAGGAATATATGTAATTAAAATGCAGTTGGTGTAATAACAATAAAAAACAGCAAATATAACAATAAATATAAATACTAAAAAGTACTGTAGGAATGTGAACTATAAATCGCCCAAGCGCAGGCAGTTCGGGAAATTTCGATTTAGATTTAGAGCTATATATTTATGGAATATTTCATTATCTCACCAGCACCGAACAGAGACAGCGGTGTTTAAGATATCCTGCCGATAAACCGGAAACACTCTTCGAATACTTTGCATGTCATACTTACTGTTTACCTTTTTGCACAGTTGTAATGGCAAAAAAGCCGCTCGAATAGTTTTAATAATTAATAATTTATTACACAAGTGTGGTTGCCCGTTTTCAACCGAAAACTATAGAATTGGAAAACGTGTCATTGCCGTCTTTCCATCAAGAATAGAATTTGGAAAATGTCAATTCATTATGATATAAAAATGGCACAATGTCTGGGAGTAATTTTCTAAGAAGAAGTCTACATAAATAGACTATACCTTACTCACGGAAATAAATAAGCTTATAATTAATAATTATGCCCAACACGCCAATGACAACTATCTGCAAAACAAATTAAGCGATCATAAATCCATGTGTTATTCTCGCGCAAAAAAATGATAAGACGTCAATTAAAAATGGGCGTGATGAGAATTCCTCTATGGTGCTGGCAAACATCGCGTTGGGAGCAGGTTTCCTTTAGTCCTTAATATCGGGCTATCTTGAAATTTTGCAATGATAGCTTAATTTTGGTGGAAGCCATTCCATGATATTTTACCCAATGATATTGAACAACGACCTTAAAAATTTGTCGTTTTTGTTTTACGAATTTATTGCTTATAGTTCGTTCTAAATAGGATTATGAAAAGTGTGGATCCTGTTGGCAGGCTAAAATTCCACATGTAGTAGATGATTAGGTGCAGATATTTTTACCAAGTTATGAGGACAAAATTGTCGATTCGACTAGAAATATGTCATTCTTTTTTCTCATTTTCATTCTGGAGTAAAGGAACAAGTGAATCGATTGGTAAAGTTATGTCAGCATCGCCAAAGATTCGCCTACAGTATGGTGAAATACGAGGGCTTAAGCAATAACAGGAGAAATCGCATAATAAACAAGTTATCACCTACCTTCACTTAAAGCCATCCTTAAAAATACGACTCCGGAAACTGAAATCGTCGTACGTAAAACACTTCAGCAGGGAAACGTAGTAAAAATTTGGCAACCTTGCCATAATAAGACACTGAGTAGACTCGTGTAACACGCGTGAGCACCACGAGAACGAAAACGCGATTTAGGAATAAATAACACTTATTTGCACGCTGCCTGTATATATTTTTTGTTGTACTTCTGTATGAATTATTTTATATAAATATAATCCATAACAAAAATGTTTCATTTGAAGTGGCCAAGAATTTCTTGGAAGCTTTCATTGGCTTAGGAATTTGCTATTATTGAACCTATAATAGCAAACTCTTAAGTGAAGAGATTTCTTCGTGAATATAAAATATAAAAATATAAATATATATACATTTATATGCATTTATATTACATATTTTATTTGCATGTTTTTCGAAGAGAAGACAAGAAATAAGCGCAGAATAGAAAAGATATCCAAGTTTTTACCTAAACAGATTCTCCCATTTCCCTCATAACCATTTTTGCATACGCAAAAGTATGAACCATTCGTGTTTGTGCAGTTGGCATTTAAACTACACAGGCCTATTGCACACTCATCAACATCTGAAAAAAATAAATAAACACAAATAAATTTTTTCTATTTAATTTTCCTTCTTGCTTATTCCAAGAATAGCAAGTATTTCATTTCATAATAAATTATTCATAAATTCAATATGATTAATATTTACTTACGCTCTTTTTTAAACGAATAAAGTTAAACACAGAGAAAGGAGAAATGCTACGTGAAAACAAAGAGGTTTCTTTTGCAAACTCTGAAATAGGAGAGTGCATAGTTTTACCTGCACAATTCGTAGTTTCCGCATTTCTTTCATATCCAATATGACATCCACAAACGTACGATCCTTCAGTGTTTGTACAAATTGAATTAAAGCCACATGGAGCTTGCAAACATTCATTCATATCTGTAAAATCAGTAATATACTGAGAATGGAGGCGTTTTCCTAAATATTTTATTTACGCCATACTTCAGAGGCACAGCCAGGATATTGGGGAAAGGGGAGGGGGGGGGGCAGCAAGAACCTAGGTGGTCCAGGCCGTCAATGTGAATCGAGACAAAGTTCATGCAAAACATTCTGTGCAGGGTTTTTTTGCATTAATGCAGTACAATTTCGATGATTAAGATCACATACAGATTTTTGGCATTATTCGGACGACATAACAATGATTCATCTCACTTCTCAGGAGGGGCCAAAAATTTCTTCCCCAGTCCTATAGCTACGTCTCTGCACTACTTGCTCAGATTTGTACTTTTATTAGCACTTTCGATCAAACATGTCGCACATAAAGTGTCAGTGATTCCGTATCTTACCCATTAAAATGCTACAAAACTGGTGCACGACTAGATAGTTGTTTGCCAATGACATTACCATCTTAAGGAGCTTACTGGAGGTGTCACCTCGTATTACCGGTTCTAATTACTAAACATGTCAATTCAAAGCAATGTGTTCTTTGCATTCTTGAGGATTAGGGAAATTACCTCAACAAAAGCTACTAGTTGCCAGCCGTTACAGTCACACAATCTCGCTTTCAGTTGTGACTCGACTAACTATGAGTGGTTGGTGTAAGATTAACCTTTCGCGATTTCAAGCATAGTTACAGCCAACGTCCTTTCACATTGACAATTAACCGCCAAAGTACCTTCTGTCTGATCCAACTATCAATGATCTTGCCCTAAGGGGCGACAGCAAAGGTGCACTATTCATCACGCACGACGGAACAGCAGTGGCCGAGGCGTTTGCTTTACAGCTGTCTGAAACAATTCGATTGTGTGGTCTACACCCATCTCGCTATAAAGGGCACAGCTTTGGCATCAGCAAGGCCTCGTACGCGGCAGGTCAGGAAGTGTCCGAGTCCTAAATTCGTATCATTGGACGATGGAAATCCAATGCGTTTCATATGTATATTCGCGTTTCATCTACGTCTGCCTAAGGTCACATACGCATCGCGCACGCGTACGACGGACGCTGACGGGGAGCGTTTTGGTCGCGGCGCAGCATTTTAGATTTGCTTGTACGGGCGGCCACAAGCGACAAGGATGTCTTCATTGTCTCAATGATGTTTTCATCATCTTGCTTTCGTTATCTCAGTCAATTGACACTGATTATATGGGTAAAGGTGTAGCATATAATTATCAATATTTATTAGTGTGTGCGTCTATCTCCAGCGGTTTGCACGGGCGATCGTTAGGAGCGATCGTTAAGACTACGCGGATGGACATGGAAGTTGCCTTTCCTGGGGTAGGGTGCATTTTCCTTGCGAAAAGATACTTTGGCGCATATTTTACCCTCACCTTACTGGGCAAAACAATGTTGATACATATGTAAAAGTTATATAGTTAATCAATTCTGTTAAAATTATTAAATATGACGTCATTTTATTAATAAAATGGCTAAGGGTAATTGTAACCCATAGCTCAAAATATCCGAAGCTCGTGTTTAGCTCTTTCAATCGTAATTAAGACCGCAGGAAAATGCCCAGTAACCAGCTCCGGAAATGCGAAATCCATAGGGCGACATGTAAAGAAATAGTACATAGCTTACACGCGCAAGATGACAGACATAAATAATATTTGTAGCATTTACATTTTTTCCATTTACTGTTTGGTAAAAATTATTTCCGTTGTCTTACCTATGCAATTAAATCCATCTCCAGAATATCCAGAATTACATGTGCAAATATAAGATCCATCTGTGTTATTGCACGTAGCATTGGAATGACATGGGGCAGATGTTACGCATTCGTCAACATCTAAAATAACATTCCAGCATTTCTTTTTTTCATTTACTGTTTTTAACTCAAAAACATACTAATAATCTATTTTTGCGATACCTGTACACTTGTAACCATTGCCCTCATAGCCCATGATACAAGTACAAATATATGAACCATCGGTATTAGTGCAATTTGCATTTACATCACAAGGATTAGTTTGACATTCATTGATATCTAGAAATATATTACACATGACATTCGCAAGGATTACAATGAGTTTGATTTTTATAATCTGTAGAAATCTTTTTCTATACCTTTCCATCCCAAAAAATAATATTTTATTAAATATCTATTAACGAGCTAAGTATATGACATGGTCAACAATTGCAAATTAAAAAGAATCTAAAATCCTCTTTCCATCCTCAACTTAGGCATGCTGGAAAGAAAAGATTAATTCATGGGTATATAAAACAACTGCTAGAGCAAACAATGAAATTGGAGTAATCGTGTGAGCTAGGTAGCTGTCAGGGTTACAACGGATAAATACCGCTCGGGTTCAGACTTGCCTTTCCGAAAAAAAAGCCGAAACAAAATAAATTTTGACCATGCATACAATAAAAACTTTTGAATATGCCGATATTCTATTTTTACGTTACCTGTACAGTTGTAACCATTGCCTTCATAGCCCATGTTACAAGTACAATTATATGAACCATCAGTATTAGTGCAATTTGCATTTACATCACAAGGATTTGTTTGACATTCATTGATATCTAGAAATATATTAAGGATGACGTTGGCCAGGACTACATTGAGATTCAATTTTATCCTGCGTACAAAATTTTTGTATTTTCCCCAAACATAAAAAATATTAATACCAGCTGATTTAGCTGAGTACATGGCATGGTGAACAATTGTAAATGAAAAAAGAATGTAAAATTTTCTCTCCTTCCTTAACTTAGGCACGTTGGATCAAAGCAAAAGACTAATTCATGTTCTAATTATTGAACTATTACAGCAAACAAGAAAATTATATAAACTATGCGTGTCGTCTAGGCAGCTGTTGTGGAAACAGCGGATAAATATCACTAGCGTTCAGATTTGGCTTTGCGAAAGAAAAACAGAAGAAAATAAATTTTGGCAATGGATATAACAAATATTTTCAATAAGAGAATAATCTATTTTTACGTTACCTGTACAGTTGTAACTATTGCCCTCATAGCCCATGTGACAAGTACAATTATATGAACCAGCAGTATTAGTGCAATTTGCATTTACATCACAAAGATTTGCTTGACATTCATTGAAATCTAGAAATATATTACAGATGAAATTCCCCAAAATAGAACATATTAATAACAATCTTACTTAGCTGAGTATATAGCATGGTGAAAAATTGTAAATGAAAAAAAAGGTAAAATTCTTTCTCCTTCCTTAACTTAGGTAGGTTGGATTCAAGCGAAAGACTAATTCATGTTCTAATTATTCAACTAATAGAGCAAACAAGTAAATTAAACTATTCGTTTGGTCTAGATAGCTGTCGCGGTAACAGCGGAGAAATATCGCTCGCGTTCAGATTAGGCTTTGCGAAAGAAAAACAGAAGAAAATAAATTTTGGCAGTGGATATAACAAATATTTTGAATAAGAGAATAATCTATTTTTACGTTACCTGTACAGTTGTAACCATTGCCCTCATAGCCCATGTGACAAGTACAATTATATGAACCATCAGTATTAGTGCAATTTGCATTCACATCACAAGGATTTGTTTGACATTCATTGATATCTAGAAATATATTAGACATGACATTCGCTAGATTACAATGAGTTTGATTTTTATAATCTCTACAAATCTTTTTCTATACCTTTCCTTCCCAAAAAAATACTATTTTATTAAATATCTATTAACATGCTGAGTATATGACATGGTCAACAATTGCAAATGAAAAAGAATCTAAAATCCTCTTTCCATCCTCAACTTAGGCATGCTGGAAAGAAAAGATTAATTCATGGGTGTATAAAACATCTGCTAGAGCAAACAATGAAATTAGAGTAATCGTCTGAGTTAGGTAGCTGTCGGGGTTACAGCGGATAAATACCGCTCGGGTTCAGACTTGGCTTTCCGAAAGAAAGCCGAAACAAAATAAATTTTCACCATGCATACAATAAATACTTTTGAATATGCCGATATTCTATTTTTACGTTACCTGTACAGTTGTAACCATTGCCTTCATAGCCCGTGTTACAAGTACAATTATATGAACCATCAGTATTAGTGCAATTTGCATTTACATCACAAGGATTTGTTTGACATTCATTGATATCTAGAAATATATTAAGGATGACGTTGGCGAGGACTACATTGAGATTCATTTTTATCCTGTGTACAAAATTTTTGTATTTTTCCCGAACATAAAAAAAAATTAATACCAGCTGATTTAGCTGAGTATATGCCATGGTGAACAATTGTAAATGAAAAAAGAATGTAAAATTCTCTCTCCTTCCTTAACTTAGGCACGTTGGATCAAAGCGAATGACTAATTCATGTTCTAATTGTTCAACTATTACAGCAAACAAGAAAATTATATAAACTATTCGTGTCGTCTAGGCAGCTGTCGCGGAAACAGCGGATAAATATCGCTCGCGTTCAGATTTGGCTTTGCGACAAAAAAACAGAAGAAAATAAATTTTGGCAATGGATATAACAAATATTTTGAATAAGAGAATAATCTATTTTTACGTTACCTGTACAGTTGTAACCATTGCCCTCATAGCCCTTGTGACAAGTACAATTATATGAACCATCAGTATTAGTGCAATTTGCATTCACATCACAAGGATTTGCTTCACATTCATTGATATCTAGAAATATATTACAGATGATATTCCCCAAAATAGAACATATTAATAACAATCTGACTTAGCTGAGTATATAGCATGGTGAACACATGTAAATGAAAAAAAAGGTAAAATTCTCTCTCCTTCCTTAATTTAGGTACGTTGGATCCAAGCGAAAGACTAATTCATGTTCTAATTATTCAACTATTAGAGCAAACAAGTAAATTAAACTATTCGTTTGGTCTAGATAGCTGTCGCGATAACAGCGGATAAATATCGCTCGCGTTCAGATTTGGCTTTGTGAAAGAAGATAGAAAAAAAATTGGAAATGGATATAACAAATAATTAGGA